TATTATATCCACACAAAAACCTGCAATTTTATTCATAATTTCAAAAGCTTGGAGGCAACCAAGATGTTCTTCAGTAGGCGTGCTGATAAATAAAGGACGGTTTGTACCTTATTCAGAGCTAGAAGAAATGAAGGCATGGAGAAATAGTAAATTCATTTTACTAAGGGAGCAAAGTCAGCCTGAAAAGGCTGCACAGTGTGTGATTTCAACTCTGTTACATCAGGAAAAGGCAAAACTATAGCGACAATAAAAAGAACAGTGGTTTCCAGTAGTTCTGGGGGCAGGAAGGATAAACATGTAGAGAACAGAGAGGTTTTAAGGCAGTGAAACTACTCTACATGGCAATGTCATAGTGGACAGGCGTCTTCATACATTTGTCAAGACCCTTGGAATGTCAAGACCAAGAGTGAACACCAATTAAACTACAGGCCCTGGCTGACAATGACATGTCAATCAGATTGTGAGAAATATACCACTCTGGTGGGGAATGTTGCTAATGGGGGGAGCTGCGCATATGTGAGGGTTTTGGGGGCCAGGAGCACATAAGAAAATGCTGCACTTTCTACTTAACTTGACTGTGAACTGAAGCTGCTCTAAGAAATAAAGTTGATTTTTGAAAAAGAAAAGGATTTTCATACTTTAACGCATTGTATCTAAAATATTACTATTTCAGTACATAATATAAATAGCTTTGATGTTGTTGTTTTTGTTGTTATTGTTGTTGCTATTGGGGATTGAATCCAAGGCCTTTGCACTGAGCTACATCCCCATCTGTTTTTATTGTTTTTATGTTGAGAGAGCCTTCATTTCAATCCCCAGCCTCACAGGAAGGGGTGGGTTATGCCAGAGAACCCTGGGCTTTAACAGGTGCTGTGAAACACAGTCATGGTGCATCACAAGGTTGAGGTGAGTATCTGAGAGGACAGAGCTCAGGTAAGAAGTTTAGTTTCTTTCCTAAAGTCACCAGAAGTGTCCAAAATCTCCTGAGTGCTTCCACATTCCAAGGAAACACACTGGCACCCAGGCCTGGAAAGTGTCCCAGATACGGGATGGACTTGCCTAGAGAGTGACACACCATGACACACCTGAGTCTAATCCATGGGCCCTGTGCATCTTCAGTGATCTTGACGCAGGCCATCACATACCAGCTGTATTGGTGGGGTTCTTTAGAGGAACAGGATCAACAGAAAAGCATATGATTATGTGTGGGAATTCAGTAGGTAGCTGACAATCAGAGGTGGGAGAGTCCACAATGTAGTTTGTGCACTGGGAAGCCAGAGGATCCAGTAGCTACTCAGCCCAAGAAGATGAAAGCTGCAGAACAAGAGCGATCAAGGAGCAGTGATCCAACCTCTGGAGGCCTGGAAGCTTCCTAGAGAGCGAGTAGTACGAGACCACACTGAAAGGCTGAAGAACCTGGAGTCTGGTGCCCACAGGCGGTGGCAGCAGCCAAAGGTGTGTCTGCTTAAGCAGAATGGACTTCTCAAACACAAACTGACTTCCTCCTCCTTCCCCTTTCATTCCATCCAGGCTGCAAGTCTATTGGCTGCTTCCACCAATTCCACAATCAATTGGGGTGGGTCTCCCCCACCCCAGTTTGCTGGCCTACATGTCAATCAACCACAGATATTCTCAGAAGTGTGCTTTACTAATCTTCAAGGTGTTTCTTAATCCAGTCAAGTTGAGTCATGATTAAGGGTCATATCAACTCTGGCACCCTGAACAAAGTGCTCAGTTGAGGTCTTCTCTAGCCACACTCAGCTAGAAAGTAAGCTAGTGTCCCTCTGCTCTAAACACTGTCTTATGTTCCACTTTAGGACTAAGGGTAGGTACTTTTCAAACTGCTTTCTGTGTGGCCGGGGTCTGCCAGTCCCAAGGAGAAGGTAGGTGGCTGGGTTAGTAGGACCACCTACCTTCACCTTCATCCTCCTGGAACAGCACCTGGCCAGGCTCCTTCCACTACTTCTAAGGGACTGCAGTTTGCAGCTTGCCAGCAGCAAGGTGCTCCCTGGGAGCCACCAGCATGGTTCGATCCCTCCTCTGAGCTCCCAGTGTTACTATGCCCACCCTCTTCCCTTTGTTCCCCAGCTATAGTGGTGTGGTTTCTATCTGGATGTCCCGCAAGAACCTCATGTGCTCATAGGCAGAGCATTGGGAAGGTGATAGGATTATGGAGTTTTGCCAGACCCTTCCACCAGGTCACTTCTGCCTGGAGCCAGCCGACCACAAAAGACCTGAAATTTCTAAAATGTGAGCCAAAATAAACCCCTCCTCCTTTGAGGGTGTCAGATAGTTTGTCCCAGTGACAAGAAAGGAACTAAGACACTATGAGCTGCCTCGTGTGGTTGCTCCCTCCATGATACCTCAGTAACATTCTCTCTTTGCTTCTCACAGTCATTTGGTCACCAGTTTTATACTGTTTTTACATTAAATTCTGTTGCAATGGCTGATGTGGTCCCTGTTTCCCGAGTGAGAAAGTGCTTAGCATGACACCATCTTGTTACTATTAGGGATGGACAAACGGCTTCTGTGTATACCTGGGTGACCCACCAAATGCTAGACAGATATGACCACATTGATCCCCCTCTACTTGCCTTGGAGCGCTCTGTGTTATCTATGCCAAATCGCAGCCTTCTCCTGCAAACCTCCTTCCTCCCCCATCACATGCTCAGACCACATGGCTGAAGAGGACTGCTGCATTCTTATGGGACCCCTCCTCTCCTCCATCCCATAAGCTAACCCAACATCTGAAACCAGCCTGGGGATCAGAGTCCTTCCTGGGCATTTCTAATTGGAATTGAGAAAAAGGTCATCTCCTCTTCAGTGGTGGAAATCATTAAAAGTTCAACGTAGGCATGGTTGGTGGCTGCACTTGCATTGCCCACACCTAACCAGTTCAGACACGAGTCTCTCACCTGCTGCACATACGTATGCTGAAGAGATGGGTCCATCCATAAGGCAAAGGTACTTCAAAACCCACTCTTTGGAAAGCCTGTGTAGATCCAGCGCCCACATGAAACCCAGAAGGGGAGGGCGTATGACAGTTATGAGGTGGTAAGGCTGTTGGCCATCACAAATCACACAGCTGGCAAGGGAGATATGGCTGTCTCAGGGTCTGCACCAGCAAGCTGGAGGCCTTTGTTCTGAATGCATGCTCCTTCAGTCTGGTTTCCTTGGCAATCAGATGAATGGGTAACTGAAAGCCCCATTCACAACATCACGAATGAAAGGATATGTTTTTTTTTGTTTTGTTTTGTTTGTTTTGGTACCGGGGATCGAACTCGGCTCCTTGCACTTGTGCAGCAGGCAGCAGAACCACTGAGCTAAATCTCCGGCCTAAGGATATGTATTTTAAGGGAGCTTTGGGCGAGCACCCAACTTCGCTGATAAACTGTTTTCAGAGTCAGAAGGAGGGAGTTTCAAGTAAGCAGTGACTTTTAAACAGCAAGAAGCTTCAAGGCCACCATTGCACAGCCACACTCCCTAGCACCTTCCTCAAAATCACAGAATACAGATGAAGGGCAAACTTACTTGGGGCATCTCTAAGATCATGGAAGTTCAGGTTCCCCTTTGATTGATTTCATACAGATTAGTGAAGAACATTGAACTAGTTGTCAGAAAAGTCTCTCCAGACTAAGAAAGATTATTTAATATTAATTCTTCACTGGAAAAATGTTTGTTGAGTGCTTGGTGTATCCAAGCATAAGTCATAGGGGTGTAAGATGGGCCCCTGGGGTTTGCTCTCAAAGAGTTCACAGCCTTATGGGGCAGTGGGTGTATCTATTCAACCCCATAATAGGGTGGGGCCCCAGCACATAATTGTAGGGTCAGTCATTATAATACATATATAAATCAAGTTCCATGAGAAGTAGGACATCTTCAGTTTTGTCTGCCATGCACCTGGTCCATCATAAGCCCTTGTGACTGTGTATCATGCCATAATGAATGGGGCCACTGGTCCCGTGTTTTGATGGAATGGTAGGATTGGCACTCAGTCAGATGGGTAAGACGGGTACTACAGCCTGGCAGAGGATGGGGATGGGTGGAACTGGAGGAGGAAATGGCAGGAGCCAATGTACAAAGAGAGTCAAGTCCAGGCATGCCGGGGAACTGCAGGTCCATTGTGATTAGACCACATGTGATACAGGTGGGATGGAAAGGGACTGGAAAGGTTAGCCAGAGTCAGATATACTGAAGAGTGCTGAACTCAAGGTGTGCAAAGGGGATTGGGCTATCTACAGTAGGATGACCTCTCATTCCAGTTTCCTGGGATGTTTTTGCCTGTTGTCTCAGGAAGATAATTTATAAGTACCCTCTTTCATGCTGAAGAATCTCATTCGGAAGCTGAATTACATGGCCCTGAAATCCTGAGGACAATGAGAAGCCCCTGAAGTTTCCATAGAGGCAAGGGCAGGTCTTGGGAAGGTCAGTGCCCACAGTGTGGAGTAGGCCCAGAGGCGAGAGATGAAACATCACAGGGCTGCAGAATCCAGGCCTAGGTCTTTTTGTTAATGGTAAATCCTCAACATGGCCAGGGTAGAAGGAAACAGACGCTATTTAGGGATTGCAAGTTGTTCCCACCCCGCTGGAAATCAAGAGCCTCAAAAAGTGTCTATGTCATTTAGCCCATTAATTTCACTTGTGGAAATCTCTCCTAAGGAAATAATTCCAAATGCAGAATTACATGCAATAGATATAGAAACCCCTTACCATGGTACGACAGACAACGAAGAAGGACACAAGATCTATCTAGCCAAAGCTTACAAAATTGGAACAATGTCTAATTTATTGACTACTATAGCCGAGAAGGTAACATGGTGTCTGATAGATTTGTTTAATAAAATGAATGAATAAAAATTTTTACAAAGTAAAACAAAAAAGAAACAGAATAATCTCTTAATGGATAAGTACCAATATACACACAGTATCAACCATATTTTTAAAAGGTATGTATGTACATGATTACACTTATACAAACTAAACAAAAATAATGTCCAAAACATAAACAGTCATTATCTCCAAACGGTGGATTCAAAGATAGGAGAGGAAATTGATTTCCTTTCTGTTTTCACTTTATTTTTGTATGTATTGCATTTTAAGGATTAATATGATTTAATTTTATGATGGGAAAAACAGCATCATTTCTTTAAAATGGAAGAGCTAGACTCAGGCAGGATCTAAGTCCTCCCCAGCAGGATTCAATAAGGTTTTGCAATCTGAGGGTTCGCAGGCAGTGTGTGTGGATGTGAGCTCCAGGCCCAGCCTTTGTTCTGCAAGATGGTTGCCTCCCACAGCAGTTGGCAAAGGGTTGATTTCCAGGCAAGAGATGGACCCTCTGGGGGCTAAGGAGAGAACTAAGAAGTGCCAACTTTCTCTGGAGCAGTTCTTAAACTCTTAAGCAACTATTAAAACTTACATAAAGCAAGATGGGAAACTGGATATATTTTAAGTGGAACAGAGAAGAATATCAAAGGGCATGTTCCCTATGAATGAAACCTCGTGAACTATGCACTGGCAAGTATTTACTGAAGGAATGAAAGGGCTTCTCAAGAAGTACATCCACACACAGCCAGAGATGAGACAAACAACCAATACCTCCCTTTTCAGCAAGGACAAGTGTAACGATGTATGCTGGAACAAGGACGTGACAGCTCACTCTTGATCCTAGGAGGTGCTCACCCAGAAGCCCTAGGCTCCAGGCAATCTGTTTCTTGGAGCAGACCTTCTGGACTTTAATCTGTGTGACATTATCCGGAGGAGCTTGACAAAATAGTAATCTTGATTCAGTAGGTCTAGAACTGCAAAAAGGAGTCTGCACATCTAACAAGCCCTGGGTGATGAACCATATTTTGGGTTACAAGCTGCTAGGATGCTGGTAACCAAGCAACCCCAAGGGTCATTGGGAATCAGGAGCAGGACAAAGCCATCCAGGTGGGCTGTGTCCACTTAAGCAAGGGGAAGGGAGGAGTATGGCAGGTTCTCAATGAGGCTTCCACCCACTGCCCCATTTCCTAATGCCAAGCACCTTCACAGATGCCCAGTCTGGACTGCCTGCCTTCTAGCCTGCTGGCGTCCTAAAGCATCCTTGTCCCCAAGCACCTTGGCACGACTGGGACTAACAATGAGAAGTGAGCTCCAGGCACTTGCACTGGATCTGGAGGGGCCTAAAGCCCCAATTCTTTGGGGACTCTGGACACTGGACATCATGCTGGCATGAATAGCAGAGTCTGGGCTTTGCTGGCCAGCATGTGGTCACCTAGGACAGTCAGCAACAGACAGCAACAGAGGTCAAACAAAAGTTGTGTCTAAGAGAATCACCTCGAAATCCAGGACAAAAGTAAAGAACACTGAATGGCAGATGTGACCAAAAGCTGGCAGGAGACAAACAGCTCCAGGAAGGGAGCAGGGACTCACAGGTGAAGCCCTTGCCTCGGGCGTCACAGACACAGGTTCTTAGGCCCAGGCCAGACAGCTCCTCAGATGAGGCTGCTCCATCTGCTGCTGCCTGGCCTTTTGCTTGATTTCTGTGTAGGGGCAGTGCTGGTGGCCTCATAGGGAGGCCTCTGAGGGCCCAGCACCTGAATCCCCTGCCCCAGCCATGGGCCACTTCACTAGAGGATGGGTCGCAGCAGGTAGAGCTAGGTGGGACCTCCCATCCGAGGTGGCCCAGAAGCAACCTGATGTTTCCTTCTCTGTGAGGACAGGTGTGGGGCCCACACAGAAGACACTTCAGAGGACCAAGGCCGGTGAGGGACCATGTGTGAACCAGTCAGCCCTGAGCCCTTCCCACTCTGGACCACAGCACAGGGTACCTGGTCTCAGCCTGATGCAGGAAAAAGTGGCACCTTCACCTCTGGTCCATACTGATAAACTTTTCTCGAGCTCTCTCCCTGTGCCAGAGCCTGTGCTAGGCATGTAGGACACAAGTTCTGTGACATTATGGATGTCACTCTCAAGGTATTCGCCATCTCATCAAGGAGAGACCTGTGCAGGCTGGTTTCCATACAGGGCAGCAGACAGTGTGGGGTGGGATGTGAGCTGTGTATTCTTGCAGCAGGGCCTGAGCACCTGAGACTACAAGTCTGTCCTCTCCCCTGGAAGTCCACTGCCTGCCCACCACTTAGGAAGTGCATCCAGAGCTCTGGCTCCAAGTGCCCCTTCCCTCACCCACAGTGGCCTCAAGGTCATCTGCCACTGAATTCCCAGTGTGAACCCTGCCTGTGGCAGGCAGACATCTCCAGCCCTGGCAACTTGCAACTCCAGCTGCCAGATTCACAGTGACCTGCAGAATCTGGACTCAGAATTCTCCAAGGAACAAGGAGCTGAACCATCTGATGTCAGACTTTCCAAACAGAGGATGCAAAAAACAAGCTCTTTCTGGACCTTAAAATCCAGAAAATCTAGAGTACCACCCCCAGCTTGCAGTGCACCCACTGGGTTAAGTGATGCGGCAGGGTCGAGCCCTGGAGCTGGTTAAATGGGGTTGGACCTGCCACTTAGCCACAGAGACACTTTAGAGACTTCTGTGTGCACCGTGGACAGGGGCAGGTGTTCAGACTCCTCCAGCGGCGGGCTCTGCTGGCAGGTCAGCACCAGGGCCTTGACCTCCTTCTTAAAGTTGGTGTTGAGAAAGCCATAGATGAAGGGGTTGACACAGGTGGAGGCCATGGCAAGCAGGTGGCACACCAGGAAGATGAGGTTGCTGTGGCAGATCGGGATGGCCTCATGGTGCCAGTCCTCCAGGCTGTTGAACACATGCAGGGGCAGCCACAGTACTGCAAAAGCACCCACCATTGCCACAAGCAACCCATTGATCCTCTTCATCTGCCCTGCTCGAGAGCTCTTGTGGAACACACGCCCCTGCTCCTGTAGGCGCCGGGAGATCCGCACGTAGCAGACGAGGATGAAGGCCAGTGGGATGCAGTACTGGAAGAGCAGCAGGAAAGTGGTGTAGATCACACGGTGGTGGTCCAAGGGCCAGGACTCCTTACAGGCCACCTTGTCCTCCAGAAATGCCAGGGCCTTGGAGTGGTTCTTGTGGAAGACATTCTCCAGGATACTGTTGGCCAGAAAGGGAAGGGAGAGGAGGCAGGCGATGAGCCAGATGACCACAATACCCAGGTAGGCCTGGGGGATGCTGGGCTTCCAGCCTGTCGGGTTAATAATAAGCTGGTGCCTCTCCAGGGCCACGAGGACAAGCGAGAGGATGGAGACTGTCACCGACATACACTGGATGAAGGCTGACATCTTGCAAAGCACCTCACCAAAGATCCAGTAGTCCATGATGGTGTAGAGGACTGTGAGTGGCTGACAGATGAGACACATGAGGAAATCAGAGAAGGCCAGGTTGGCGATGAGCAGGTTGGTCACATTGCTCTTCTCCTTCTGCCTCATGGTCACACAGATCAGGCAGAGGTTGCCCAGGACCCCCATAATGGTCTCAATGCTGTAGGATGTGACAATGAAGGCCATCAGGTCCCCTGAGTCCTGGCAGTGGTCAGAGAAGTTGGACAGGATGCCCTGGGGCTTGCTGCTGTTTTCCCCCTGGGGGGACCTGGGGAACGTTGAGGCCAGGAAGGGAGAGGTGGCCATGGTGGCAGTGAGAAGCTTCCAGAAGCTCTCAAACTAAAGGCCTATTTCAGAAGTGATCCCTGCAACACAAACAGACCAGTGGAACTCAGAATCACCATGTGTCCAGGATGGAATTGGGGAGGTCCAGGGGTGGCAGCATTTGGAGCTGTCACCTAAGGCTCAGGATTGGAAACTGACATCCAATAATCGCCACCTATAGGAAGCACTCGCCACTCAGAGCCTTACAGATAGTAGCTACTTTATTCTGAGACAGCAAGTGTTACCAACCCACTTCCTCAATAAGGAATCTAAGACTCAGAGTTGTGAAGTAACTTGCCCACTGCCACACGGCCAATAAGCAACGGGGCCCAGATTCAAACCAAGGTCTATCTGGTGTCAAATCTCATTTCACAAATTCCCTCTGACCTCAGGACTCAAGGCCATTCTGATGATAAAGAAGTTGGAGCATTGTATACAGAGTTCAGAGGCAAAATTGTTCCCCCACTGAGCAGAAAGTCCTTTGTCACAATTTATCCAAATGGAGACAGCAAGAAACTGCTCTGCGGTGACCATGTGAGTCTTCCAGGCATCATGGAACCCAAGCTTTGGGGCCAGACACACTGGGCACCTGCCTGGCCTCAGCCCCTACCTCTCCTTCCAGCCTTGCTTCTCAGGTGACACATGGCAAAGGCAAGAACTGCAGGCATGCAAAGACCGGGACATGAGCACATCAGCTTCTTCCTGCTGCCCGTGTGTACACACATGGCTGGCCAAGGACAGGGGACACCATTGCCCTGTCTGGAGCCACACCAGCTCAGGTCACCTGAGGCAAGCTCACATCAGACTTTCCAGGCCTTCATTTCCTGGTACAGGCTGTCCCTTCACCCTGGGGCCTCCTCAGCATGAGGAACCTCTATCAAAACTGAATTGGACAGGGACTCCAGAGCACTTGGGCAGAATGACAATGATGGACATTGGACAAAGAGACCCGCCCGTCACCATCACATCCCTGAGACTAGCCATGCTGGCCCTCCAGTCACAGTTCTCCACCTTCAGTCAACATGAGAATCATCCCTCGAGCATGATGTAGTGCAGACTCCAGGGCCCCTGGAAGCTAAATGAGTCTGAGATGGGGCCCTGGAATCTGCACTTTAGCAGGTGGCCTGTGGGGTTCAGATGCACACGGTTGTTGGTCCCTATTTTGAGAAGCACTCTGCACAGGAGAATGCCCTATTCGAGATATTCTTTAATTCCCATACATGAGCCACACCTTCTCTTCTTCATGATCAAGTGCCACACTAAAGACAGTTTTTACAGAATAGGGCAGAATTAACCAGAGATCAGTAAATCTATTCATCAGCTGACATAAATGTCACTCACTAGACATTTGACTTACAGAGCTGGGTCTTGATTTCGCCTGATAGTTTAGTCTGGTTATTTAAGCTGCTGGATCTCAAAAGTCAGGAAGATTTTGTGGGAATCACAATCTTGTGGCAAAAAAGGGCCGTTTGGGGCCACACATGACAAGATGAAATACACCAGGCCAGACACAAGGTCCAGGGTTGAGGCAAACAGCAAGCAGATCTGCCTGAGCCTACAGCAGGCACAAGGGCCCCAGACAGAGCAGACTGGACAGACACTGGAGGCTATGGCTGACCCCCAGCCAGCTGTTCCACACCGGGGCATCAGCAAGGGGCAGCACTAGCCATTCTACCCCAGCAACAACATCATGGTCAGAGGGAGCACTGGGCAGGAACTGCTTCGTCCATCCTTCCACTCAAACAGGTGCTGCACCTTCAACTATAATCAAGGGCTCCAGAAGTGAATTTTATGGCCCTGGGCCTCCCCAACCAGAAAAATTGACCATCAGGCACGTAGCTGGTCCTCCAGGCCACACTGCCATGGCCAAAACCAGGGTAAGTAGAGAGATCGGAAAGGGAGCAGAGCAAGATGCAAAGGAAGAGGTGGCACTGGTGTGGGGCTCAAAGGCTGGTGAGGAGTCACTTGTCCAGAGGGACAGAGGAGAGGAAGGATTTCCAGGTGCAGGGGACAGCATGTGCAAAGACACAGGGGCAGGAAAGAATGGGGCAGGGAGGGTAGGGGTGCAGGTGTGAGGCTGGAGAGGAGGGCCAGGCATGGGACCTCAGGGAGCCACTGAACACTGCCCATCAGCCAGTACTGTTCCAGAAACAGCCCTTGTGCATGGAGTGGAGGGTGCACTGAGGGAGGAGGCCAAGACAAGAGAGGAGCAGGGGAGAAGGCAGCGCCAGGTCTGCCTGGCCTGAGACCCTGTCTCAGAGAATGATGGATGGTGACAAGCAGGCCGGGACACCACACAGACACTGCTGACCACACACCAGCCCTTCCGGCAGATTCTGGGCACTAGGCAGAAGAAGGGCTGGGTCTGGGACAGTAGCAAAGCAGGGAGCAGACAACCGGGTCCAGGAGAGAGGCAGAACTGTCAGGTGGCTCTGCCTCTTTCCCCAGAGCTGCAGAGGCTGGGAGGAGCTGGCCCAGGGCAGACCCATGTTCATGTCCACAGGGGCCCTGGTGCACAGGGCCTATGGATTTCTAGAGGGGAACCCTAGGGCAATGCAGCAGTCAGTCAAGTTCCTGAGCCCCAGGCCAGCAGAAGAGCCCTGAGGGGTGTTTTTGAGCAGAACCCAGTGAGGAAGGAGACAGCACTCAGCTGCCACAGCACTAGCGAGCGACTGTCATGACACAGCCTGGGCTTCCCCAATGGGGCCCACATGGTCCAGGGTTAGGAATGGCTGCAGGGAGACCATGAAGCTGTAGGGAGTGGGTCACCTGAGGGCTGGGGGACTTTTCACCCATGAATGGGCCATGAGTCTGGCTCTCAGGTCACCTGAGGGCCTCTGACATCAAAAAGAGCAATGGAGAAAACGAGCAGAGTATGACGCCAGGGTCCTCTGCAAGCCAGTAGGCTACATGCTTGTCCTGGGTCCCAATCCCAGCTCTCCCATCTCTCAGGGATAAAGATGAATAACACCTGCCTACAATGTGACCTGGCTCCCTCCCAGGTCAGGGGATAGAGGAGGGATCACAACGGTGTGAAGGTGGGATGTGAGCTCCCCTCCCCCAGCACCCTTTCCAGTTAGCTCCATCTTGGTTCTAGGGGAAAGAGTGTAACTGATGGACCAGGTCCCGCTAAGGAGCTTTCTTTGTCACCTCCTGGGAGGCAGAATTGCCAGTCTGGTACAGAAAAGGTGCAAGAACAGTATTTGTCAATGTTAGGTCCCTTTTACCTCACCTCACCTACCTAAGGGGCCACCACCCCCATGAGGAGCTGCCACAGTGACCACACAAGCCATAACCCAGGACTCTGGGTCCACCTGGCTCCAGGTCTGACCCTACAGCCTACAAGGGAAGCCCCAAGGAAGGGCATACAGCCAAGACTCACCACCCACTCCCATCCTTCACCAAGTGTCCAGCCTCAAAAGGGCACACTGCAGCAGCCTCCTGCCCTGCCCAGACCCCTCCCCAGAGGCTTCACCATCTGTCTCTCTCCGGGGCTGGAAAGGACACCATCCCCTCCCCTCCTAGCTCGAGCAAAGGACTGATGCCATCTCCACCTATGATCAGCCCTGGGGACACTTATGATGGGCCTCGTGCTGCCTCCACCCATGTTGTCACCTAAAGGTGAGGCCCCAGGATGCCAAGACACAGAGACAGAAGGAAGTAGGGGTGGCAGCAAGCATGCAGAGATCATCTGCTCCAAGTTTCCCCCATGGACAACCCAAGTGATGCCCAGCTGAAGGGCTGAGTTCTCCAAAGAGGGGGAGCAGAGGGGCATCTGGGAGGGCCAGCAGGAGAGGGGCTGCAGAAGCCCCATCTTGGAGGAAAGAGCCCAGGGAAGGAGGAGTTCTCCTCACCCAGAGAGCCCCAGCCTTCTAGGGAGATCAGGACAGACCAGCATCAACTGTGACTGCCCATCCTTCTGTGCATATCCACTCCACAGTCCTGCCAGAAGGCACTGCTAGGTTGACCCACACGGCACTGCCAGTATCCCACCACTGTGGCCCATAAAGACAGCAAATTCATCTGCCCGCATCTAAGATTAGCCTCATCTTAGGAAGGAGAGCACTGAGCCCATGACTCCTGAGGACCCTGGACATTGTGACTGTAAAACCCCTGAGCCTGCTCTTCCAGACTCAGAGATTGTGACAGAAGGGGAAGGAGCTTGTGCCAAACTCTGAGACGAGCCGATGTGCTGGGCAGAAGGGCCAGGCTGGAGATAGACCACTTGGGTGCATTGCTGGATGGAGCCCAACCTGAAGAAGAGAGGATCCCAGAGCCCTGGGGAACACCCAGGGGTGCAGGGATGAGGGTCAGCCAGGGGGAAGGTGCCCCAGAAGTCAGGGGTCTCTGTTGCTCAAGGTGGCAGCCGCCTTGGGCCCACCGCCTGTCACCCACACACACAAGCTCAGAATCTCCCCAAGGACAGCCTAGCCTCTCCAGCCCTGGTCCTTCCCAGCAGACCTGGGCAAGGGATTCCCTAGCAGCATGGGCCCTCAGAGGCCCCCTCAGCCAGCGGCACAGCAGAAGAACACAGCTCCCTGGGGAGAGACCAGGCATGAACGGATGGGGCAGCACAGTGCTTGTCCCTTCAAAGGACCTCACCTGTCCTTCCTTCTTGCAACCTCCAGTCTGGACCCCCAACTCCTGGATCATCTCAGGGTGATCACATCCACTCCCCTGGGCTGCTGGGCGGGGGCCCCAAAGACCAGTAAGGACCAGGGATCCTGGGATCCTTGAAGACACTCCCGGGGTGTCCTGGGGGGGCAGATTATCATCCAGGGTCAACCACAGCTTCCCAGGGAATGGAGGACAGCCTCCTTCCATTCAGAGGAGGAAACTAAAGAGCCATGAACTAGTATCTCCCAGTGAGGTAGGAGTGTGGGGAGGTGACTTGTACCCCGGATCTCTGCAAACAGCCACAGTCCTGTTACCCACCGCCCAGACCCTTCACAGGCACCTTACCTCGGCGGACAGTAGTCACAGGGCGCGATATCTGGCCACCTACGTCTCAGGAGGGGAGTCCAAGGCACCGCCGCC